TTATTTTGTGCCACTGAATGTTGGAAGTGTTTAACTTCTCATTTGTACAGGGGCTCACAGCTAAGAGTTTGCCGTACATCTCAGAGGAGACTTGGGACTTGGATTCTTCAGCAATGCTGAAACTGTTAGGACTTTGGCAACTCTTGCAGATGGACTAAATGCCTTTTGCATAAAGGGATGTGCATGAGTCTTTAGGGGGTGAAATGTTATGGTTCTAATGTAATATAATGTTTTTGTACCTGGAAACTGGTTTAAAGAAATGTGTCTGTTTGCCATGTTGACGAGGGGTGGATTGCTATGGTTGACACACTGTATCAACTTGGGGAGTCTAGAGGTTTGGGTAAGTGACTCAGCAGGAAGCCAGGGTACTTACTTGGTATACATCCTGAGCCTGTGGAAGAGGAGGGCACGGAGATTATGTGAGAGCTACACACCCCTTAGGTGGGGGTAGCCTGTTTACAATGTTAGGGAGGGGAAGAGGCTGCTTGCCACGATTCTTCCCTTTTGCTCTGGCTGCTTTGCTGTTTGGCTGCCATTCCCCCGTTTGCTCTTATTGTTTTGTTATCTTCTGCCTCGGAGCCAGCCAAGTATGGACTGAAACCTCCACAACTGTAAGCTAAATAAACCTTTCCTTCCTTCATTTTTGGCGTTGGGTATTTTGTCTCAGCAACAAGAGAGAAAAGTAACCAAGACAGTTGGACAACATCACGTTGGCTCAGTGATAAGCCAAGCAGTTCAAGTGGGAAAATGAGAAGCAAGGTTTGTCTCTCACTCAGAGAGGCCACGGGCTGCCTGCCAGGTCTTTGTGTATTAGCACAGACCAGGCTCGGGCTTCAAACCTACAGTTCAGAGATGTCTGGACTCACACTTTCCCCCTTACCTCACCTTTTTAGGAGGATTGAACAAGTCTACATGATTTACAATGTAAAATATAGAGTGAATATGAGCTCTTGGTAAGGAGATGAGTAAGGTGGGTTAATTATGCCCAATGTAGAGATCACAGACAGCTTCCTTAAAAGGTGACTTTTCAGCTTGGCCTTGAGAAGAAAGCTAGCAAACAATGGCCAAAACTTGAGCCAAAGCAAAGAGGTAAGAAAGTGCTTAGCTGGCAGGTTTGGATCTTATTTTGTAGGCAGTAACTCTTGAGTTGGATGCAACATAATGGAAACAGGATCTGACATATTCATGTCCAGAAGTGTATAAATTAAGTGAAAGAAAGACCGTGAACACAAAGAGATTAATTCACAGTTTGTTACATACTGTAGAGAAGAGATAATCCCTTAAAGTAAAGAATACTCTAGAAAAGGTGAGAATACAGATAAAACTTCATCTTGGGCTGATCAAGGCAGCCTGCCTCCATTACCCACTACTTTCTCCACCCAATTTGTTCTTAGAAATGCACAGAAATATTTGTTGTCATTTGTACCATGAAATCCCACAATTTGGAGCTCGAACAAATGGACATACCTAAATTTCTTCAAGCTGCCTCCTAGAGACGCAAACCTGAGAGAGCAGTCTGAAGGCACTTATCCACATGGAAGTCCTCACACCCCACAGAGGGGTCGTGTGATGACTCATGTGCCCACTTCGTATAGCACAGGACACAACCAGAAGGGTGTACAGTGACAGCTGCTGGTTTCCTAGTGGGGAATTAGAACCCACTTATTTGTCAAGAAAGCCAGATGTCCTATCGAGTTTATTCGGTTCCTGCTAGAACAGATCAGATATGGTAGGTCAGCTCAGTTTAATGGAGCATATTTAAACTTTCAAAAAACTAATTTAGAAATAAATAAAATAAAGCCTAACATATTCATCAGTGTGAAAGAACACAAATTAAATGAAAAAGTATTATATGCTCCTCTGGAAAATAGTAAGTCTTTAGAACACTATTCCAAC